CAGAGGAGACAGAGGCACGAGGGTCGGTAACAAGAGAGGCGAGAACACGAGAGAGAACAGGACGGTATGTGCGGTAGTAGTCAGTGACAGGAGTAGAGAGAGAAGCAGTGAAGGCCGACTTAGGAGGAGACGGAAGGAGAGACGGAGACGAACGGGGCGGACTAGAACGAAAGAGGGCAGTACGAAGGTCAGTAACGAGAACAGGAGACGAGGGACGAGCACGAGGGGAGCGACGAGAGGCCCAAGTCTGAGGAGGAGGGAACAACGGAGGCTGAGAACGAGGGAAAACAGCCGGGGAGGGGTCAGGAGGAGGAAGCGGAGGACCCGAGACGGGAGGAGAGGGGGAGGAGGAAGGAGAGCGGGAGGGGAGACCGAGGGCCCGAAGACCGGAGACAGGAGGAGGAGGTGGTGGCTGCTGCTGCTGCTGCTGCGGCGGCTGCTGCTGCTCCTCCTGCTGCTGTAGCGGCTCCAGCTGCTGCGCCTCCTGCTGCCGCGGCGGCTCCAGCTACAGCTGCTGCAGCTGCTCCTGCTGCTGCTGCTCCTCCTCCAGCCGCTGCAACTCTCTCTCCTCTCTCTCCAACTCCAGCTGCTCCTCACGGGCACGGCGAACACAAGCCTGGTGCCGGGTCGGGTAGGGGTGGGGGGGAGGAGTAGTTTCGGGGGCTGCGGCAGCCCCGGGACCGCCCTCCAAAGCACCTGGCGCACCACCCCCAGAGTCAGCACTACCAACAGCAACACGACCAGGCTCACCAGGACCCGAAGAGGGTGCAACCGCACTCCCAGACGTAGCACCCCCAAAGTCAGCAGGACCAACACCAGCTCCCGGAAGACAAGAGTCTCCTGCAACCACAGGCTCAGCTCCAACTCCAGCACCCCCAGAGCTAGCACCTGTAGGGCCCTCTTCACGAGCACCGGCTCCCGCAGGGTCTGCAGCAGGCTGCGAGGAGGACTGCGGGGAAGGAGGCTGCACCTGAGGGGCTACCGAGGGGGGAGGGGTAGCCTGGGACACACCTGACGGGGCGGGACCAGGGGGGGAGGCTGTACTGGGGGAGCAGGACTGGGAGCGGAAGTCAAGAAGAGAGGGGGAGGAGGAACCGGGAGACCTCGACTGGGGTACCTGACGTAGTAGGGGGTGGACTCCTCGAACCGGACGTCACGGGAGTCAAAGAACCGGTGAGAGGGAGGGTGGTAAAAGGTGAAGTCAGAGGAGTCCTCAGGGAAACCAAGGAAGACACAGGGAACGGCGCGAGGCGAGAGCTTGTCTGCGGAAGTGTCGCGGACAAGAGCCAAGCAACCCCAGACACGAAACCTCGACGCAACACCAGGGGACCCGGTCCAAAGACTGGTCGGTGAAGCCTCTGGCCGAGAGACGCGTGGCCAGAGGTTCAGCTGGTGAGCGGCGTACCTAACCGCGTAGGGCCACAGAAAATGGGGGGCACGGGCGTGAGTCAAGGAGGTGCGGGCGATCTCCATGACCAAGCCTATGCGGCGCTCAGCAACCCCATTCTGCTGTGGGGACGAATGCCCTGCTCGGGACAGAATCCAGTGAGAATGCCGGAGCGAAACTCACCCCCACGGTCAGAGTGAAGACAGCTGACACGACGACCACGAGTGCCCTCAGTGGTAAGCAACCACCTTATCAGCGTAGAAGTCACCTCAGACTTCTTCGCCAGGGGGAACACTGTGGTGTAGCGGGAGTAGTCGTCAACGACCACCAAAAAGAAGCGCTCGCGCTCAGGGCCAAGGCGAGGGGCGGGGCCCCAGACGTCCAAGTGGAGCGTCTCAAAAGGCTCGGTGGCCGGACGAAGGGAGGAGGAGTGAGGGGTGGCGCGCAGCCGACCCTCGACGCAGGGACCGCACGGAGGTGCAAGCGAAGGCGGCAGCGACGGCAAGACACGCGGGCCTACGACAAGACGCTGACGAGACATAGCGCGCAGACGAGGGAGGGACGGGTGCCCCGTCCGGTGGTGCCACAGAACGGTGGGGTGTGCAAGCGACCGGCAGGAGCATGACGCAGCAACTGGACCAGACACGGGAACCTGACCAGACATAGCTACCTGGGGGGACGCAGCAACCTGGTGAGACGCAGGGACCAGACTGGGGGAAGTAACCGGGGCCGGGGGCAGGAGTCGCTGCTGCTGCTGCCCACCAGGGCCAGTGTGAAGTGTGTAGAGACCAGAGCCCGGCTCGGCAGTAAAGGTGGCAAGAGGCGAGTAAGTGTCGCCGTCAACACAAACCGCCGTCTCACCAGAGGGCTCAATCCACACACCCACGTGCTGACTCACAAGAGGCCTCACGCCCACCAAGTTCCTCGAGAACGAGGGGACGTGGAAGCCAGTCAGAGACCCAGAGGGAACAGCAGGGCAAGGAAGAGTAGTAGTGTAGCGAGCAGTGACTGGTCCCGAGGTGGGATCAGCCAGGGCCACAGAGACTGGCGCAGGAAGTGGAGTAAGTGTGGTGTGGTTGCGGAAGAAGCAGTGCGAAGCCCCAGAGTCCAGAGTGAAAGACAGTTAAGCGTCCTCCGAAATAGCGCCTGGACTAGTGTCTACACAAGTGCCTACACTAGCAACAGGCAACTCAGCAAGACTAGCACCTAAGCTAACAACACACGAGTAAACAGAGTCAGAAGCACTAGAATCAACAACAACATACATAGCATGAGGAGTTCCTAAGAGATCAAGCAACTGAGAAGCAGACATGCCCCAAAGAGCGGAGCCGTACATCTAAACATGAGGTAACCAGTCAGGGGCAGGGCCGCCAACGCCGAAGGCCAAGCGAACCGTGTCAGTGAGCTGAGCAAAGCACTGACCAGGAGGGTGGGTGCGACCACAAGGCTGGCCTCGGCGAGCACCTGTCAGAACCTGATAGGTGCACGAAGGGTGAACAACACCTCGCTGGGGCGGACGCTGTCCCAGCCCCGAAAATTGCTGCTACTGCGTGGGCTGCTGCAAGGGGAGGGGCTGCTGCTGCTGCTGCACATGCTGCTGCCGCTGGGCCAGGTACCACGCCGCTGCTCCACCCACTGCGGCCGGCAGACCAGGAGGAGGCTGACGAGTCCGGGTGTCGCCTCCACCAGCTGCAGTAGGGGAGTCACTGGCCGCTGCACGAGACGCCTCTCCAGGCCCTGCACTCCCGCCGCCACCGGTCGGCACGCCACCCCCACCACCTCCGCCGCCAACGCCGCCACCGCCGCCGCCACCTGCACCCTGACCACCCCTCCTGCCACCCCTACCTCGAGACCGCGACGTAGTCGTAACAGCAGCTGCGGTCACGTCAGTAGTGGCAGTGGCTAGCGAGGCAGTAAAAGTGGGCAGCTAAGGGACAGTGCACCCGTGAAACAGTGGAGGGGGCACAGCAACAGAGGCGGAGGCTACGGAGCGGAGGTTGCTCTCGACGTCCTTGAGCGCAGACTCAAGGACCTCGACAGTGAGCTCACTAGGGTGCTTCAGAAGAAGCGTGTCACGAACCGAGGCAAGGCGGTCAGGGAGGCTAGTGGCAATGAAGTAGATAGTAATCGCCATAGGAGGGGGAAGCAGTGCAAGCAGCGCGGTAGCTAGAATCGAGCGAGCGGAGGTGAGCAATCAAGTCAGCAGAGCGCTCAAACGAGGCGAGGTCAGGGAACAAGAACGGTAGGAAGAGGCGGCCAAGGGAGACAGTGGTGGGAGTAGCGTAGCGGGCCTTGATCGCAGTCAGGAACTCACTAGCAGTGCGAACCTGAGTGAAGTGGGCCTCCTCAGACTCAGGGAGGAGGCTGCTAAGAGCGATGCAGGCCGCAGCGTCACGCGACTTCCACGCCTTCAGGTCAGCACGCTGGCGGGTAAAGCGGTCTCTGGCGGCGTCGTCAGGGGCAGGGCCTAAGGGTCGTCGGGCGCAGGAAGGTCACCAGTAGCGTGCGCCCAGAGGGACTCACCCGCCTGGACCTGACTCTCTAGAAGGCGACGCGCGCGTAGGAGCCAGACCGGAACTCGAGCGGTCTACCGTCAGCGTCAAAACGAAGAACCCTAGGGGTCGCCATAGCAAAAGCAAAGAGGTGGGAAGTGCTGCTGCTGAAACCCTAATCACTGAGAGCGACTCAGTAGGGCGCTACGGGACATAGGGTAGGGCGCTACGGGACACAGAGTAGGGCGCAACACTGCTGGACTAGGAGGGCGCAGCGCCACGGGCAGGGGTAGCGCGACGCGACGCAGCGGGACAGGACGGGCAGTGCGACACGACGCGACGCGACGCGACGGGACGGGACGGAGTGCGCGACGTGGACGGGCAGCGCGACGCGACGCGAAGGGACGGGACGGACGGGCAGCGCGACGCGGACGGACGGGACGGGACGGACGGGACGGGACGGACGGACGGGACGGGACGGACGGCGCGACGCGGACGGACAGCGCAGCGGGCGCGAGGGCACGAGAGCGACGTAACGGCAGGCGCAGCGGGCGCGAGGGCACGAGAGCAACGTAACGGCAGGCGCAGCGGGCGCGAGGGCACGAGAGCGACGTAACGGCAGGCGCGATAGGCGCTAGGGGACAGTACGAGCGGAACGGGCACTAGGGTACGGGACAGGCTCGGGCGCTACGGACGTGAACGAGAGGAACGGGATCCCACAGGATCCTAACCTAGGTGATACCATGTCAAGAATGAAAGTGTTGGTTCATTGATGTGGGTTGGGGTACATATAACAAACTCTAACATTTGTACCCCCTACGACAAACCTCACTACAGGCTACAACATTTGACAAAAAGATCCTAAGGGCTTTTCTCAGCCCAACATTGACAACCAGAGTGTAAGAGTGCATGGCATGGGTCTGAAGACCTGTGGTAGTCGGTACAGCCGATGCAACTAAGTCAGCTCAAAGGTACTCAAAGCTACACCCCAACAGCACCAGGAGCGGACTTAACAAACAGAGTGTAGTTGCGAGTGGGGCTAAAGAACCTGTAGTAGACAGCACAGCCAATGCTACGAAGTCAGCTCAAACCTACTCAACGCTACTCAAAGCTACTCAAAGCTACACTCCAACGGCGCCCGGAGCGGACTTGACAACCAGAGTGTAGTTGCGAGTGGGGCTGAAGAACCTGTAGTAGACAGCACAGCTGATCGCAATGGCGACAATGACCACGGCTGCGAGGGCAGCAGCAGCCAGCCAGCCGGAAATCACGAGGCCTGTGTCGTGAGGGACCACCCTCCCTCCGTCTGCTGTTGTCGCTGCTGTTGCAGCCTCCTGTAGCTGCTTGGAGAGGGAAAGGGGAGGGGAGGGAGGGGAGCACATGAAAAGGAGCAGAAGGCAGGGAGGTGTTAAGTTTAGTGATTGGCAGAGTTCAGGGCAACCGGGCTTAAGAGCCTGTGGTAAACGGCACAGCCGATGGCAATGGCGACAATGACCACGGCTGCGAGAAAAGCAGCAGCCACCCAGCCGGAAATCACAAGGCCTGTGTCGTGAGCAACGATCCTCCCGCCGTCTGCTGTTGTTGCCGCTGCTGCTGCCTCCTGTAGCTGCTTGGAAGAGGAAGGGGATGGGTAAGAGTGGCGGATTGGTGGGTGGTGATGGTGTTTAGTGATTGGAACAATGGGGCTCAAGAACCTGTGGTTTACAGCGCTTCTGCGATGTTGAAATCACATTTGAGAAGTCTCAAAAGTGATTTCGTGAACCTGTGGCTGACAGCGCTTCTGCAACACCAGGCACTGCCCGTACACGCCCATCACACCACCAATTTTCACCGCACCACACCCCACTGTACTACATCCCACCCCATGCTCCCAAGAGCCTCAGCCCTTACTGCCTTGAGCTTCATGAGGGTCTGTTCGAGCTTGTTGGGGTTCACAGTGCCGCCCACATACGCGGCCATCACACCACGGTTCACTTCATCCCGTCCCACTGCAACCCACCGCACCCAGCCCCAGACCGCACCACACCCACACATACATACACATCAATCACACCCCATTCCACCGCACTGCATCCCATCCCATGCACCCAGGGGCCTCACCGCCTTGAGCTTCATGAGTGTCTCCTCAAGCTTGTTCTGGTCCACGGTGCCGCCCACATATGCGCCCTCCTTGGCCACCAGCTTCACCAGCGTGCGACACTCCTCCGGCAGGCGCTGGCGCTTCTGCGACACGAGGCACTGCCCGTACACGCCGATGACAGCGCCGTTGATCTCTTTGACGGGCGTGGTGGCAGCGGCAGCACTGCCGGTGTTGCAGAGCTCTTCTACTGCTGTGTCGCACGGCTGCGTGAGTGCTGCTCCCTTGTGGTACTGGAAGAGGGCCATGCGCACCGCATAGGACACCTGAAAGTGGAGGAGGGGGGTGGAAGATGTAGAGAGATGGAGGGGGGGGATGAGCAAAAGGAAGAGGTGTGGGTTCCCATGCCCTCTAACAGCACAGTGATACGCTTTGTGGTAATGGACGGGAGCCATGCCATGCGCACCGCATAGGACATCTGGAAGGGGAGGGGAAGGAAAGAGGTGGCGATTTGGGTTGAGCTCACCCAACATTTCCCTTCCACCCACCTTTTCCCCTCCACATGCACACAGAGGGACGCACCTGCACACAGAGGGACGCACCTGCACTCAGAGGGACGCACATACACACAGAGGGACGCACATACACACAGAGGGACGCACATACACACAGAGGGACGCACATACACACAGAGGGACGCACATACACACAGAGGAACGCACATACACACAGAGGGACGCACATACACAGAGGGACGCACATACACACAGAGGAACGCACATGCACACAGAGGGACGCACATACACACAGAGGAACGCACATACACACAGAGGAACGCACATACACACAGAGGAACGCACATACACACAGAGGGACGCACAAACACACAGAGGGACGCACATACACACAGAGGGACGCACATACACACAGAGGAACGCACATACACACAGAGGGACGCACATACACACAGAGGGACGCACATACACACAGAGGAACACACATACACACAGAGGAACGCACATACACACAGAGGAACGCACATACACACAGAGGGACGCACATACACACAGAGGGACGCACGTACACACAGAGGGACGCACATACACACAGAGGGACGCACATACACACAGAGGGACGCACATACACACAGAGGAACGCACCTCAGACTGGCAGGACGCAGAGAGGCTCTTAAAGCTGCCGACCATGCACTTGAGCACGAGCGCATGCCCCTCCTGCCCCGCGTCGACACCGTTGAGGGTCACGAGCACTAGGCTCGCCTTGCTCTCCCTATTCAGCACGTACATCCAATGGCATCACAGTCTCGCCTCGCCCTTGACTTCCATCCCCCCCTCCCCCCTCCCCCCACACACAGAGGCACGCACCTCGGACTGGCAGGAGGCGGAGAGGCTCTTGAAGCTGCCGACCATGCACTTGAGCACGAGCGCATGGCCCTCCTGCCCCGCGTCCACGCCGTTGCAGAACTTGGTGACGTCGTCCTCGCACTCCTTGCGCACGCGCACGTCCAGGCGGTAGTTGGAGGCGTGCCGCGCCTCCTGCAGGTTCACCTCGCCCTTGCACGCCGCGCCCATGCCCACGTCCTGCAGGTGCTCCTGCAGACACTTGAACGCCTGCCCCTCCGTGGGGGGCACGTCGCGGCACAGACTCTGCAGCTCTGTGGGTTAAGGGGGGGATGGAGGAGGGGCGGAAGGTGGGAGGGGGGGAGGGAGGAGGGGCGGATGCGGGGAGGAGAGAGAGGGGGGAGGGTAAGGAACAGGGCAGAAACGGAGGGGAACGGAGAGGGGAGGAAGTGTGAGAAGGAACGGGAGGGGGGAGGGATGAGCTCCTGGCACTCCTCGCACTCCTTGCGCACGCGCACGTCCAGGCGGTAGTTGGAGGCGTGCCGCGCCTCCTGCAGGTTCACCTCGCCCTTGCACGCCGCGCCCATGCCCACGTCCTGCAGGTGCTCCTGCAGACACTTGAACGCCTGCCCCTCCGTGGGGGGCGCGTCACGACACAGACTCTGCAGCTCTGTGGATGGAGAGGAGACGAGGGAGAGGGGGACAAAAATCAGGGCAAAAAAGGACGGGGATGGGGAAGGGAAGGGGTGTGAGAAGGGATGGGGAGAGGGGCTCCTGCAGACACTTGAACGCCTCCCTCCGTGGCAGGTGCATCGCGGCACAGGCTCTGCAGCTGGTTTTTCTCTCCGTATGAAATCCGCGTGTAGTGAGGTGTATTTTGAGGCGCCTCAAAATACACCTCACTACACGGGGTTTTTGAGAATTCTCAAAAACCAGGCAGGTGCATCGCGGCACAGGCTCTGCAGCTCTGTGTGTGGGAGGACCAGGTGTGTGTGTGGGGGAGAGGAGAAGCAAAAAGTAAGTAAGAGTGGAGGGGGGTTGAGGGGAACAGGTTCTGTGAGGGGACACGCACGACTTTTGAGTCGACTTGAAAGAGTGGAGGGGGGTTGAGCGGGACAGGTTGTGTGAGGGGACACGCACGCGGCTCAACAGGCTCTGCAGCTCTGTGAATAGGACGGGGTGAAGGGAGCTGGGGAATGGAGCAGCCAAGACCCGAAGGACAGGAGGAGTTGGTGTGAACGTGGAAGGAGCAGGTGGTGCAGTGAGCGCATGCATGCAGTGAGCGCATGGCTTGCCTGCCAAACAGGCCGATTGCAGGCAGGATGGTTTGTACCAGGGCGGCAGGGTCTCACCTTGGCCGCATGCGTTCATGAGTGACGGTGTGAGGCGAATGTCCGATGCCTGGCACAAGAAGCAACAAAACGGACGGGGAAAGAGATGGAAAGGGGAAGGAGAAAGGGACGGGAAGAAAGAGGGGAAGAACAATGAGTAAGTCCACCAGAGCAACAACGCTTGAACGAATAGAGAAAACCTGCCACCATCCAGATTCCACACCCACACCATGATGCCAAAGCGCATCTCCTCCTCCCGACACGGCATCAACATCTTCTGCTTCCAAATCCTCAGGCACTCACTGGGAGACGCAGTACGATACTCATACCCACACCTCCACACACCCAGTCACCGCACAGAACCACCCAGCACCCACCTCCATGATACTGAATCGCATCTCCTCCTCCCGGCACGACGTCGACAGCTTCTCCCTCTTGGTCCGCAGGCACGAGAGCGTGCGAGCGTGGTCCCGGCTCACATCCGGGCACAGCTTGACCAGATCCCCCTGACACGCCTTCTGCAGCGGCACATCCAAGGACAGCGGGTCCTTGGACTGGATCACGCTGAAGGAGTCGACCTCCTGGGTGCAGGAGGGCGATTGCAGCTTGGCCTTGTTGTCCTGCAGGCAGCGCAGCACCATGCCGCCGCACGTGGCTGTGCCGTTGGCTGAGGCGGCGTCACACGCGTGCAGGCAGTGCTGCTGGATGTCCGGCAGGCATGCCTTATGCAGCCGGTAGTTCAGCCGGTAGTCTGGGGGAGGGAAGGGGTGGGGAGGTAGGGGGAGGGGGGTGATAGAGGTAAGAAATGGGTAAAAGGTGGTGCGCGCGTGCAGGCACTGCTGCTGGATGTCCGGTAGGCACGCCTTGTGCAGGCGATAGTTCAGCCGGTAGTCTGGGGGAGGGAGCAAGAGGAAGGGGCGGGGTTGTGGTTAACGGAAAGTGGGGAGAGACAGCTCTTGGGGAGATAGGGACGGGGGGACACGAACGATGGTGGAGGGAGAGGCGATTGACAGGCATCTGTGAAATAAAGAGGGCGGTCAGTTGAATGAGTGTATCTTGCCTTGGACTTGTGAGTGTATCTTCAGGCACACCTTGCTTTAACTTGAGTTACCTCTGTCAGCACCTCTTGCACATTCTAGTGATCCCTCACCTTGTGCACGAGGTCCGATTGCACCTCCTTGCGACACGCCTCCCCAAAGTCGCTTTGTGAACCTGACTGAGTGCGCATGCCATTCTCAAGCACCATACTGCACATCCTAGTGAGCCCTCACCTTGTGCTGATCGCACGAGGTCCGATTGCACCTCCTTGCGGCACGCCTCCCCGAAATCAGCATCGTCGATGTGGTCCTGCAGACACTTGATGCGAGACGCGTGGCCTGAGGACGGGTGATGGGCGCATGGGCAGTATAGGGAGGGAGGGAGTGGAGCAGGGTGTTAAGTCAGCGTTGTCAATGCGGTCCTGCAGACACTTGATGCGCGAGGCATGGTGGAGGGAGGGTGGAGGGAGGGCGTGAGGGAGGGTGGAGGTAGGGCGTGAGGGAGGGTGGAGGGAGGGTGGAGGGAGGGCGTGAGGGAGGGTGGAGGGAGGGTGGAGGGAGGGCATGAGGGAGGGTGGAGGGAGGGTGGAGGGAGGGCGTGAGGGAGGGTGGAGGGAGGGTGGAGGCAGGGCGTGAGGGAGGGTGAAGGGAGGGTGGAGGGAGGGTGGAGGGAGGGCGTGAGGGAGGGTGGAGGGAGGGCGTGAGGGAGGGTGGAGGGAGGGTGGAGGGAGGGTGGAGGGAGGGCGTGAGGGAGGGTGGAGGTAGGGCGTGCGGGAGGGTGGAGGGAGGGCGTGAGGGAGGGTGGAGGGAGGGCGTGCGGGAGGGTGGAGGGAGGGCGTGAGGGAGGGTGGAGGGAGGGCGTGCGGGAGGGTGGAGGGAGGATGTGAGGGAGGGTGGAGGGAGGGTGGAGGGAGGGTGTGAGGGAGGGAGAGAGGAAGGGAGGATTGGAAGGATTAGGCTGGAAACCAGCCGGATGCAGAAAGATAGGATTGAGGCTGATGGGAGACATAATGGTGCCTTGTGTGAGAGAAGACGAGAGTGATGGACGAACTGCCAATACATGACAGGCGACAGCCATTGGCACCTGCTCTGCTTGAAATGGTTTCTACTTGTAAACGGTAACTCACCTCTAACGGTAACTCGTCTCTTTCACCACAGCTCACAGGTGCTCAGCACAGGTTTGGGTGTAAATACAGGTCATCGTGAGCCCGAGCACTCGGGAGCGTGAGAACAGCTCAATGCGAAATCAAGTGTAGCTCACCGTGGGGCACGTCCTTGCAGAACTTGTCAAGCTCCGACTGGCACGCCTTCTTCATGGGGAACTTGAAGTCAATGTCCTCCGCCATGCGCACCAGCTGGGGGGTTTGGGCGCGGTGGAGAGGGGTGTAAAGGGGTGAGCAACAGGTGGATAGGCTCTCAAAATTCACCACACAGAGCCAGGAAAAGCACCGGTGGTGAATGAGACACGTGTTTATCTGCTCTAAGTTAGAGTTGTGGCAAGCCTCTTTGAGATGTGGTATGTGGTCCTGCTGCTCTGCTCATGGCAGCACATGCGAGCCACCACTGCCACCTGCTGCTAGCCTCACACGTGTGTGCATCCCGATCTTTTTTACCGGTTCAAACACAGAGAGTTGCGGCAGGCCCGCAACTAGCCTGACACGTGTGCACCCGAACTTTACCTGCTCAAAGACAGAGTTGCGGCATGCCTCCTTGAGCTGCGGCATGTGGTCCTGCAGGCACATGAACACCGACGCCTGCCCATCCGGTGCATCCTTGCACACCGTTGTGCGATCAGCTGCACGTGGAGGGATACGGGTATGGGCGTATGTATGGGGTTGCAGAAAAAAACCAATGAGCACCTGGCCCATTGCAATAGGCACATGAACACCGACGCCTGCCCGTCCGGTGCGTCCTTGCACGCCATGGTGCGATCAGCTGTGGGGGGGAGAGGGAGGGGGATGGGGCCACGGACGTGTGGAGACGATGGAGGACAGCAATTTAGAAGGTGGATATGGTAAGTCCGCACACACCTTCATGAGAATTCGAAACAAAACTGAAAAGAAAGGGAATGGTATCACAGCAGTTAGAGCCAGCCAATCAGGCGAAGCTGGTGAAAACGGAAGCGTGTTGCAGCCAGCCAGACCAAGATGAAGATAACAGCCACCACAGACCAGACCTTGACAGGCATCACCAACAGGTTCGTCACAGAAAAATACCAATCGCACTCACCTTGGCAGGTGTCGGCGAGGGGTTCAAGTGAATGTCAATCTCCCTCTTCTTATCTTACAGCGCCTCATAGGCTCACCTTGGCAGACGTGGCACTCACCTTGGCAGACGTGGCACTCACCTTGGCAGACGTGGCACTCACCTTGGCAGTCGTGGCACTCACCTTGGCAGTCGTGGCACTCACCTTGGCAGTCGTGGCACTCACCTTGGCAGACATGGCACTCACCTTGGCAGGCGTCGGCGAGCGGCTTGTTGAAGCGGATGTCGATCTCCCGCTCGGTGAGCTTGTGCACCTGCGCCTTGCACTTGGGGTCATAGGGCTAGTCAAAGGGCCTCAACCACTGACCTTGGCAGGCGTCAGCAAGGGGTTTGTTGAAGCGGATGTCGATCTCCCGTTCGGTGAGCTTGTGCACCTGCGCCTTGCATTTGGGGTCCTTGAGCTCGTCGCGGTAGTCCTGCAGACACTGGATCACCTTGGCGTCGTAGTTTGCCACGTCCGATATGTCCTCCGCGTCCGGGTAGCAGATCTGGGGGAGGGGAGGGAGGGAAGGAGGGGAGAAGAGGGAAGGAGGAGGGAGAGCTTGTCCCTGTAGTCCTGCAGACACTGGCTCACCTTGGCGTCATAGTTTGCCACGTCCGATATGTCCTCCGCATCCGGGTAGCAGATCTGATGGAGGCAGGAAAGGGGGAGGGAAGAGTGTGAGAGGGGAGGAGAGAGTGTGAGGGGGAAGGGGAGGGAGAGGGGGTCGTAGTTGGCCACGTCTGATATGTCCTCCGCATCTGGGTAGCATATCTGGGGGGATTGTATGGGGAGGAGGAGGGGGGCGAAGAGGAAGAGTGTGAGGGAGGAGAGGGAGACAAGGAGTCGTAGATGGCCACGTCCTATATGCCCTCCGCACCCGAATGGCATATATGCCAGACGGGGGAGGGGAGAGAGAAGAGGGAGGGGCGGAGAAAAGGAGTGGGAGTGGGGGAGGGGAGAGGGAGGGGGGGAAGGAGTGGGAGGAGGGGAGGGGAGAGAGGCCGTCGCCGTTTATATATGCCCTCCACGTCCAAAATGTGACCTCCTGTGCACACCTCTGCGATGCCACCCAACCCACGCACGCACCTATGCAATGCTCCTCTGGCATGCACCTTCACACACCTCAGCAACCCCCACCCAAACGCAGAATTTTGCACTTCCTTCCCTCGCATGCGCCTCTGCTCTGCACTATCCCCCCCCCAGCCCACGCACCTCTGCAACCCCCACCCACCGGGCGCACACCTCTGTCATGCCTCTCCATCCACGCACCTCGGCAATGTCGGCCTTGCAGTATTTGTGGAGACATGAGTCCAGCCTGAAGTCCGTGGCCCTCCTTGTAGGCACCTCTGACCGCTGCTCTACACTGTTTTTCTTTTCCCTACCCCCAAACCCACGCACATCTCTCTGCCAAGCCCCCCCCATCCACGCACCTCAGCAATGTCGCCCTTGCAGTACTTGCGCAGGCGCGAATCCAACCTGAAGTCCGTGGCCCTCCGCGCCATCATCTTCTCAAACTCCGTCTTGCTGCCAGGGAAGCGGGGGGCAAACGGGGGAGAAGGGGTGAGCAGGAGAGGGGAGGTGGGGTGGGGAGGTGGGTCAGGGAATAAAGCATCAAATCGCATAAGGAACTAATCAAACAGCGGGGTTCATGAAAAGCAGAGCGAGAAGTGTACCAGCCAGGGGAGAACTCGTCGTCGAGGCGGTGGTCCTCCAGGCAGTCCTTCACACGCGCATCTCCATACTTCACATCCGCACAGAACTTGCGCTGGTCGTTCAGGCACGCTGCACACGCAGAAATGACGCAGAGAAGAGGGGAGTGGCGGTGGGGGAGATGGGGGAGGGTTTGGGAGGTCGGGAGGGGGTAGGGAATGGGGAAGGGTTCAACACTGTCGTAAAAGGCAACAGGAGGCCGAACACGGGAAACGAGTATGTAAAACACGCATAGGGAGGAAAAAAGAACAGGTTGAGCCTGGGAAGCCGTACGGCTGGGAAGCCGTACCTGGTGGCTGGGACTGATGGCTGAGAATCCGTATCTGATGGCTGGGAATCCGTATCTGATGGCTGGGAATCCGTACCTGATGGCTAGGAATCCGTACCTGATGGCTGGGAATCCGTACCTGCTAGCTGGGAAGCCGTACTTGCTGGTTAAGAAACCATAGGCGCACCTGGCGGGTGGGAAGGTGCACCTGGCGGGCGGGAAGGCACCTGGCGGGCGGGAAGGTGCACCTGGCGGGTGGGAAGGCACCTGGCGGGCGGGAAGGTGCACCTGGCGGGCGGGAAGGTGCACCTGGCGGGTGGGAAGGCACCTGGCGGGTGGGAAGGCACCTGGCGGGCGGGAAGGAACCTGGCGGGCAGGAAGGCCCCACCTGGCGGGTGGATGGGAAGGCTGACCTTGGAAGAGGCGAACGTTGAGGCGGATGTCATCGGCGTTCTCCACCTCCTGCCGGAACAGCTCCGCCTGGCAATCCCACGCCAGCTTCGTGCGGTGCTCCCTCTGCGCCACACCGCAACCACACCACACCACAAACCCACAATTAGCATCCTCTAAGAAAGAAACAATCACCACTAACTGACCAACAACCATCTTTCTGTCCGTCTGTTGACTTGTGACAGTCTGTCCGTCCGTCTTTCCGTCTACCAGCCTGCCTGTCCGTCTACCTGTCCGTTTGTCTGTCCGTCTGCCTGTCCGTCTGCCTGTCAGTCTGCCTGTCCGTCTGCCTGTCCGTCTGCCTGTCCGTCTGCCTGTTCGTCTGCCTGTCCGTCTGCCTGGACGTCTCTGTCCATCTGCCTGTCCATCTAACTGTCCTTCTGCCTTTCCGTCTAAATGTACGTCCTCGACGTCTGCCTGTCCTTCTGGCTTTTCGTCTAAACGTCCGTCTCCTTGTCTGTCTGTCCGTCCGTCATCCCCGTGAGCCACACTAACCAGGCAGTTCTACATGCGGCCTTCCCCAAGTTCGTGCCCTCGCTATTTCTAAGGCGCCTAACAACTAGTCTCCCTGTCTGTGTGGCAACACTGACCAGGAAGTTCTGAACGCGCCCTTCCCCGCGTTCCGCGCCCGAGCTATTTCTGAGGCGCCTCACAACTAGTCTCCCTGTGAGCCACACTGACCAGGCAGATCTGTACGCGGCCTTCCCCGGGCTCGACGCCCTCCCTATTTCTGACGCGCCTAGAAAATAGACTCCCTCCCAATGTGCCACACTGACCAGATCTGAACGCGCCCTTCTCCGAGTTCCGAGCCCCCGAGCTATTTATGAGGCGCCTCACAACTAGTCTCCCTGTGAGCCACACTGACCAGGCAGTTCTGCACGCGGCCTTCCCCGGGCTCGACGCCCTTGCAGAGGCGGTCAGCCTCGCCGCTGCAGAGCTCGCGCAGCTGCGGGTCCATCACGAAGTCGTCCGCCGCCTCCATCTGGTGCCGCAGCACCTCCGCCAGACACGCGTCCTGCAGCTTCTCCACCTGCTTCACCTCCCTGAACAGCATTTCATTTCAGCACATTTTGTTCTCGTTAAATTAGTCATTTTCCAACAAGCGCATCCGGTCACACGTCCGCATTCAACTGGTTTGGTGGTTTGAACAAAAAAAAGAATAACGAGCATACCCTTCGTTTCCGTGCTCACGTCAGCGTATTCGACTGTGCGTTCGCCTGTAGACAAGAAACGGTTGTGTATTTGCCTGTCTTCGCATGAGCATTCGCATACCTGAGGCAAGCAATGATGTTGCCGGGTTCCGGATACAGGAAGTCGTCGTCGCAGAACTTGGTGATGTCCGCCTTGCACGCCGTCGCTGCCAGCCACGCAACGACCCGACCCGCAAAGCCCCCAGAGTACAGGCATCAGGACACGAGGGAGACTTCAAACAGAGCAAGCGTAAATGATCGGTGCAGAACAAAGGAAATACGTGAATCTTAGAGAGTTACGTAGCGGTTCTTGATCCGTCAGGATTACGAAACAAGTTTTGGATAGAGATAACGCACACATGGCCTTGTCCATGGAGAGGTCCCTGTACATGTCGGATCGGAACTGCCGGATCTCCGCTCGGCACTTCTTGGACACCATGATCGCTGCCAACAGCACGAGTGGTGGAGGGAGGGCGCATCAGGCAAATGAACGGTTACGATAGACAACACGGCGGAAAACCGTTCTCGGAAACCTACCAACGATTTGCGAGACGGATGGTGTTTTGGAACGATGGTCCGAAAGAGACTGCAACAACGGAGATTGATTCGCGAGCGAAGCTTACTGGCGACTTCGTTGCCGGCCTTCTCGTTCTTGATGTGGAAGACGAGGCAGAGCGACAGCTGAGCCTCGCCGGGAGTGATTCCCTGGCAGTGAAGCGTGATGTCCCGCTTGCAAGCGCCTGAATCGCGCAAAAAGAAGATTGTTTTAGTTAGAATCCTACCGCGTCGGCCGTACGATCTTGCTACAAAGGATCTAACGGACGAGTTGAGTATCAATGCGGTTGCGTCAGAGCAAACTCGAGTGCGAACCTTGCGGATCAATGTCGTCGCGCGTCTGGTTTTTCGACTTCCACGCCGAGGCTGGGACTTTCGGCGACTCCATAGGAGGCTCCTTAGAAACAGCCGCGACGCCGCCCTTCGCAGCTTTCGCACCAGCGGGTTTCTCCTCATCGGCTTCAGTCGCCGTAACCTTCTCGCTCTCTGCTTCCTCGTCCTCTCCTGCAGCCGCTTCCTTAGCGCTAGCGGCCTTAGCTACAGCGGCTTTGCTCGGCTTATCCTCCTCCTCGGTTGCGTCATCTTCACCAGCCTCCTCCTCCGCGGCTGCAGCCTTCTTTTTTGCTGCAGGCTTCTTTTTCGCCGCAGGAGCTTCCTCTTCGTCCTCCGTTTCCGCGGAAGCTTCCTCGTCGTCAGCTGCAGCCTTTTTCTTAGCGACAGGTGCAGCGTCTGCGTCCTCCTCTTCGTCGTCGCTCGCTTTCTTCGCAGACTTTACCTTTTTCGGAGCAGGGGCATCAGCCTCGTCGGCGTCTGCTGCTGCTTCATCCTTCTCGTCCCCCTCGTCCTCCTCCGCTGCCTTCTTGAGCTTGCTGGCTTTTTTTAACGACTTTGAGGATTTCGCAGGCGGCTCTGCTTCTTCATCCTCTGAAGCTTCAGCGTCTGCTTTGGAAGCTTTGGTGGTTGTTTTCTCTTCTGCGTCTCCCTCGTCGCTCGGCTCAGCCGCGGTGCTTCCCTCATCTGCTGCCTCCTCTTCCTCCACTACGACCTTTTTCTTTTTCTTCGCATCGGCGGAGTGAATGGACGCACATAATAGGAGCGCGATCACGAAAAGGCACCACAATTTCCTACCCTGCAAAGACGAAAGACAGAAAATCAATAGCAGAGTACACAATGTGTTAGTGACAATCGAATTAACCTACTAGAAAAGAGCCATTTTCACGACTCGGAGCGGCAGATGAAAGGTAAAGACGCACCATTGTCGCCGATCTGCTATCAGCAACTCTGGGTGGGCTGTATTAGCAAGAACGGTAGGAGAAAGCTGAGCAAATCCCCAAGGGACCAATTTGAGACTCCTTGAATTTACGGCCAGCCAGAAGGTATTAGAGGAGGTGGACTCGGAATGGAAGATCTGAAGGGAAACTGTAGAACGTTGGAGTACTCTGTACGACTGGTGGAGACCCTGCGACCCGTGCGAGTGGAAAAATATTTCGTAGTGGGAGCCAGTGCGACGCTTTGTAGTGTCGTGCAAAACAGCTGACCAGCACTTCCGTCACCAACCTCCGTTCGGCGACGAGGCGAAGTGTTCACGAGGAGTCTGGTATGTCGCACAGCGTTGAGTTCCCAAACCCACGGCGGGGTGGACCGGGTGGTGGTGGTGGTGGTTGGTTGTGGTTGTGGTGGGTGCGTGAGGGAAGACTTGCTTCGAGAACTCCAGTCAGCACCAGCCAGTCGAGCCAGCATTGCTGGCCAATCACAGAAAACCTGGACAGTCGGTTGAGAAGGGTGAACCCGCTCCTTTACTAAACCAGCTGCAGACTCGCAATTGCAATCGTGATTCCTTCAAACCTTCAAATAAATTCCAACTCGCAATTACAAACAAACCTAAAAGCAACCCACAATTCTGGACTCGCACTGCGCTGTACTTTGAGACACATTAGTCTGGTATTGACTCAATTTTAGACGATCAGGCATCTCCATCATCTAGTACGGTTTGAACAATCCATCTCCATCACACTATTTTGTACCGTAATACAAGCCTTTTCAAAAGAGTCCTTTTGTCGATTCGCAAGATTACTTCACGCCATCCAGTGGTGTTATCTCCCCAGTTTTTGTCGCCTTCTTCCAAAGCTCCTCAAACTCGTCGAACGCCGCTTCACCTCCAACGGTAGAGGACGATGACACAGCAATATTCGAACCCATTAGCTCATTTCCACTACCAAACGTCTTCTTATGGCTTGAATAGCCTTGTTCTTGAAAGCCTTGTTGATATAATCCTCGGGAAACTCCTTCACCATGGCCTCTTGCTCTCTCACTACCGATGTCAGTGTCACTCTCAGGCCAGTCTCCCTCACTCCCAATGCCACCATCTCTGCTGCTTCCATCCCTACTCCCTCCCTCCTCACCCCACCTCTCCTCATCATCCCAATCATCCCCATCCACACCACCACCAATTTCCTCCCCCTCTTCCTCCTCCCCCTCCTCCCCACCCACCACCATCACGCCATCTGCATCCACACTCACACTCACCTCCACCTCCCCCTCATCCTCCACATCAAATCTCCACACTCCCTGCCTCTCTCCCACCTCCCCTCCTTCCATCCCAGCCCCCACTCCCACATTCCCACCTCCCACCAACCCTCTTGAAATCTCTCCTGCCGGATTTTTCCCTCCCCCATCTGCCACTGAACCTGCAATGGCTCCTTTTACGTTTGCCACTGTGGAAGTTTCAGAAGAAGCTTCGGGGGGAGCTTCGGGAGAAGGTTCCTGTGAGTCCAGCCCGCGCCACATGAGGATCTGCTCCTTGTCGAATGAGAGCAGGACACATGGCACCAGGTCCTGGTGGGGTTCAATCACAGAGAAGGGAATGAGAAGAGGCTAAGGGGTGAGAGGAGGCAAGAGGGAGAGAGGAGGCAAGAGGGAGAGAGGAGGCAAGAGGGTGCGACAGCCAATGAATGGGCCTGATTTCACCGACATAGAAATGTTACACAGTGTGGGAGAAGCATCGTGTCAACCACAGCCTGTTTTTGAGAGTTCTCGTAGACCAGCTCCCCAACCCAACCACTCACCCTGAGTTTGGCGCCGATCTTCTTGTGGTCGCTCTTGCTCATCCCCTGCACCCAACCAACCCAACCGCTCTTGTAGTCCACCTGCACTAGATCCGTTGCCTCAAACTTCCTCAGCATTGCCCCAAACACACACACACACACACACACACACACACCCCTGTCAACACAAACAACGCTCACCCTTAGTTTCGCGCCGATTTTCTTGTAGTCGCTCTTGTTCATGCCCTTGCAGTCCACCCGCACCAGGCGAACCTTGCCTAGAGTAACCCTCCTCAGATCAACCTTCCCTACTCACTCTTAGCTTTGCGCCAATCTTCTTGTAATCGCTCTTGTTCATCCCCTTGCAGCCTACTCGCACGGTCAGCCTCCTCGAACTCCTTTGACTGGCCTAACCACACATAAACTCCCAAACACTCCACTCACCCGCAGCTTCGCACCAATCTTCTTGTAGTCGCTCTTGTTCATGCCCTTGCAGTCCACCCGCACCAGGCGAACCTTGCCTAGAGTAACCCTCCTCAGATCAACCTTCCCTACTCACTCTTAGCTTTGCGCCAATCTTCTTGTAATCGCTCTTGTTCATCCCCTTGCAGCCTACTCGCACGGTCAGCCTCCTCGAACTCCTTTGACTGGCCTAACCACACATAAACTCCCAAACACTCCACTCACCCGCAGCTTCGCACCAATCTTCTTGTAGTCGCTCTTGTTCATGCCCTTGCAGTCCACCCGCACCAGGAGAACCTTTCCCAGCGTAACCCTCCTCAGATCAACCTTCCCTACTCACCCTTAGCTTAGCACCGATCTTCTTGTAGTCGCTCTTGTTCATGCCCTTGCAGTCCACCCGCACCAGATCCGCCTCCTCAAACCCCGCCCGCACCACGCCCACCAGCCGGTGATACACGCCGTTCTTGCCTGCAGTGAGTGGGGGGGAGGGAGGGGGATGGGGGAGGTGGGAGAAAGAGGGGTGAATTGCACCCCGCCCTCACCACGCCCACCAGCCGGTGATACACGCCGTTCTTGCCTGCAGTGAGTGGGGGGGAGGGAGGGGGATGGGGGAGGTGGGAGAAAGAGGGGTGAATTGCACCCCGCCCTCACCACGCCCACCAGCCGGTGATACACGCCGTTCTTGCCTGCAGTGAGTGGGGGGGAGGGAGGGGGATGGGGGAGGTGGGAGAAAGAGGGGTGAATTGCACCCCGCCCTCACCACGCCCACCAGCCGGTGATACACGCCGTTCTTGCCTGCAGTGAGTGGGGGGGAGGGAGGGGGATGGGGGAGGTGGGAGAAAGAGGGGTGAATTGCACCCCGCCCTCACCACGCCCACCAGCCGGTGATACACGCCGTTCTTGCCTGCAGTGAGTGGGGGGGAGGGAGGGGGATGGGGGAGGTGGGAGAAAGAGGGGTGAATTGCACCCCGCCCTCACCACGCCCACCAGCCGGTGATACACGCCGTTCTTGCCTGCAGTGAGTGGGGGGGAGGGAGGGGGATGGGGGAGGTGGGAGAAAGAGGGGTGAATTGCACCCCGCCCTCACCACGCCCACCAGCCGGTGATACACGCCGTTCTTGCCTGCAGTGAGTGGGGGGGAGGGAGGGGGATGGGGGAGGTGGGAGAAAGAGGGGTGAATTGCACCCCGCCCTCACCACGCCCACCAGCCGGTGATACACGCCGTTCTTGCCTGCAGTGAGTGGGGGGGAGGGAGGGGGATGGGGGAGGTGGGAGAAAGAGGGGTGAATTGCACCCCGCCCTCACCACGCCCACCAGCCGGTGATACACGCCGTTCTTGCCTGCAGTGAGTGGGGGGGAGGGAGGGGGATGGGGGAGGTGGGAGAAAGAGGGGTGAATTGCACCCCGCCCTCACCACGCCCACCAGCCGGTGATACACGCCGTTCTTGCCTGCAGTGAGGGGAGGGGAGGGAGGGGGGGTGGGGACGAAGGGGAAGAGGAGAGAGTGAGGGGTGAAGAGCACAACGCCCTCACCACGCCCACCAGTCGGTGATACACGCCGTTCTTGCCTGCAGTGAGGGGAGGGGAGGGAGGGGGGGTGGGGACGAAGGGGAAGAGGAGAGAGTGAGGGGTGAAGAGCACAACGCCCTCACCACGCCCACCAGTCGGTGATACACGCCGTTCTTGCCTGCAGTGAGTGGGGGGGAGGGAGGGGGATGGGGGAGGTGGGAGAAAGAGGGGTGAATTGCACCCCGCCCTCACCACGCCCACCAGCCGGTGATACACGCCGTTCTTGCCTGCAGTGAGGGGAGGGGAGGGAGGGGGGGTGGGGACGAAGGGGAAGAGGAGAGAGTGAGGGGTGAAGAGCACAACGCCCTCACCACGCCCACCAGTCGGTGGTACACTCCGTTCTTGCCTGCAGTGAGGGGAGGGGAGGGAGGGGGGGTGGGGACGAAGGGGAAGAGGAGAGAGTGAGGGGTGAAGAGCACAACGCCCTCACCACGCCCACCAGTCGGTGGTACACTCCGTTCTTGCCTGGCGGATGGAGGGATGGTGGGAGTGAGGGGGGTGGAGGAAAGGCAGGAGAAGGGTACGAGAGGCGAGAGGAAGGGGAGCCAATGCCCACCCTCACCCCGCCCTCACCATGCCCACCAGCCGGTGATACACTCCGTTCTTGCCTGCGGTGAGTGGGGGAGGGTGGGGGTGGGAAAGGGGGTGCGGACGAAGGGGAAGAGGAGAGAGTGAGGGGTGCAGAGCACAACGCCCTCACCACGCCCACCAGCCGGTGATACACTCCGTTCTTGCCTGCGAGGGGAGGAAAGGGGAAAGAGAGACAAGATAAGAGAGAGGCAGGAGTTGAGTCGGAGTTGCAAGAAGAGTGTGAGACGAGAGGAAGCTTCCGGGAGGAAGCTTTTGGATACACACTCACCCAGCTTGCAGAGGGGTCTGTCTGATCTGATCTTCCTGCCAATGCGTCTCAGCTCCTGTGCCTGCCTGACCGTACGTACGTAGCATGTGTGAGTGTCCCTGGACCCACCCAGCTTGTGCGTTCGCACATACCCAGCTTGCAGAGAGGCTTGATCTTTCTCCCAAAGCGTCTTACCTCCTGCGCCTGCCTCAGAGTCAGCCCCCCAGGGGCGTCTTGGATGAGCGTGGGATAGATGCGTGCGAGGGGCTTCCCTTCCACAGCATGGCCCTCCCAATGCGTCTTAGCTCCCTACATGTGCACATACGTACCCAGCTTGCACAGAGGTTTGATTCTCCTCCCAATGCGTCTTAGCTCCCTGTATGTGCACATACGTACCCAGCTTGCACAGAGGTTTGATCTTTCTCCCAATGCGTCTCAGCTCCTGTGCCTGCCTCAGAGTCAATCCCCCAGGCGCGTCTTGGATGAGCTTGGGGTAGATGGGCGCGGGGGGCTTCCACAGCATGAGCGGCAGGCGCGGGCGCAGGCGGTAGTTGTAGTTGCGCCCGCGGAACACGTAGAGGGTGCCGCCCTGTCGTTTGATGATCCTGCCTCCCGTCTTGTCCTGCTTGGATGAGGAAGAACAGGGAGAAGAGAGAGCAGGGGAGGGCGCAGGCGGTAGTTGTAGTTGTGCCATCGGAACACGTAGAGGGTGCCGCCCTGTCGTTTGATGATCCTTCCACCTGTCTTGTCCTGGTGGAGTCGCAGGGAATGGCAACAGAAGAGCATAGCAGCAATGTAAGGCTCTCCTAAAACAGCAGCACAGCAGGGAGGGAAGGAGCCGCTGTGGGAACAAGTCGCCGTGAGCGGGAGCATGAGAGGCAGGCGCGGGCGCAGGCGGGCGCAGGCATGCAGTTGAAATTCGTTGGATTCGAAACGCAGCAAGCCTGGTAAGAGTAAAGATCTGTGCACCGGCGGGCGCAGGCATGTAGTTGCGCGCGCGTGCGGAACACGTAGAGCGTGCCGCCCTGCCTACCACATGAGGTGACGTTTGAATCGACTCAAAAGTCACCGCAGGCATGTAGTTGCTTGCGCGTGCGGTGCGGTGCGGAACACGTAGAGCGTGCCGCCCTGCCTACCACATCCCTCCCGCCGGTGCGTCAACACACCCCACGCACCTCAACGACGGTCAGCACGCCCTTGCACGCCCTTGCCCCGCGTCAACACACGTTGTCCATGGGGTGTGGATGTCAGCGGTCAACACACGTTGTCCATGGGGTGTGGATGCCAACGGTCAACACACGTTGTCCATGGGGTGTGGATGTCAACGGTCAACACACGTTGTCCATGGGGTGTGGATGCCAACGGTCAACACGCCCTTGCACCAATGCACCTTCACACACCCATGAAACCGCATTCCATCCCTCCACACCCCACGCACCTCCACCACGTGGCACACGTTGTCCATGTCAACGGTGGGCACGCCCTTGCACTTGACCTTCACGCACCGCCGCCGCTTCCAGTGCGTGTGAATCAGCTCCAGCATGTTGTGAATCAGCCCGTCTCGACCTGTGATGGGGGGTGAAGGGGTATGGGAGGGGCGAATGAGCTATGACAGGGGGAGCAGAACACATTGCCGCCGCTTCCAGTGCGTGTGAATCAACTCCAGCATGTTGTGAATCAGCCCGTCTCGACCTGTGAGGGGGGTGAAGGGGTATGGGAGGGGCGAATGAGCTATGACAGGGGGAGCAGAACACTTTGCCGCCGCTTCCAGTGCGTGTGAATCAACTCCAGCATGTTGTGAATCAGCCCGTCTCGACCTGTGAGGGGGGTGAAGGGGTATGGGAGGGGCGAATGAGCTATGACAGGGGGAGCAGAACACATTGCCGCCGCTTCCAGTGCGTGTGAATCAACTCCAGCATGTTGTGAATCAGCCCGTCTCGACCTGTTACGGGGTATGGGAAGGTGATGGGAGGGGCGGAAGAGCTATGAGAGAGGGAAAAGAACGCACCGCCGCCGCTTCCAGTGCGTGTGAATGAGCTCTAGCATGTTGTGGATCAGCCTGTCCCTGCCTGAGAGGGGGTGACACGGGTGATGGAGGGGCAGAACAGCTATGAGAGGGGGAGCAGAAAACATTGCCGCAGCTTTCAGCGCGTGTGAATCAGCCCGTCCGTGTTTGTGAGGGGGGGATGGCATGGGAAAGAGCAGAATGGGGAGCAGGGCGAGAAGGGGTGATCAGCCCATCCCAAGCAACCACGAGTCAAACACACCACATCCCACCGCAACCCACCGCACTCCACTGCACCCCACCGCACACATAGGCTCACTTAGGTTCACCTGGCGCCTGCCCTTGTTGCAATCAGCAACCATCTCCTCCATCTCCTCCATCTCCTCCATCTCCTCCACCTCCTCCCTGCTCAGAAGCCCTCCCACGCAACCACGAGTCAACCCCACCGCACCCCACCGCACGCCATCATGCCACGCACAGACTCACCTAGGTTCACCTGTCTACGCCCCTTGTTGCACTCTGCCACCATCTCCTCCACCTCCTCCCTCGTCAACGAAGGCCCCAGCACCCATAACCCACCCCTACCATACCACACCCCACCCCACCACAACCCACCAAACCACAGGCTCACCTAGGTTCACCTGCCGCCTTCCGTTGTTGCAGTCAGCAACCATCTCCTCCACCTCCTCCCTCGTCAACAACAGAGCCCCCAGCACCCATCAGTCAACCACACTCCACCTCACTGCACTCTACCGCACCAATCACAGGCTCACCTAGGTTCACTTATTGCAGTCCGCACCAATCACAGCCTCTTCCTTTGTCAACGGCGCTCCCAGCACCTCCTCTCGTGTCCGCACATACCGCGGCCCCTCCCCCTCCCCAAACGGCCCTGGAGGCTGCACGCCTCACTCAACCACACTCCATACCACCCTACCCCACCGCAACCCACCGCACTCCACCACACCACACACGAGCTCACCTAGGTTCACCTGTCGTCGCCCCTTGTTACAGTCAGCAACCATCTCCTCCACCTCCTCCCTTGTCAGCGGCGCCCCCAGCACCTCCTCTCGTGTCCGCACATACCGCGGCCCCTCCCCCTCCCCAAACGGCCCCGGAGGCTGCACGCCCTTCATCCCCCTCTTCCGCCTCGGCGCCACAAACGAGTCAAACTCCGGAATCACCCGGGGTAAATTCCCCGCCCCGCCCCCTTTTTTCGCCTTTTTCAGCGGGGCGCGCCCGGTCCAGGGGCGGGACATGGTAGCGGGGCCGAAGGGGGAGAAGGGGGGTTCGCGGTAACCGATCGGGGGGGTGGTGGGGGTCTCGGAGTAGCTGTACTGGAAGGGGAAGTGCGGATCTTGTGGGGCGATCTCGGGATCGCCTCCGGGTGGCGCGACGTTGAAAAACTGGTCCTTCTGGGCGGCGGAGAGCGGCTTTTTCCGTCCGGATAGGCCCAGCCAGTTTTGTCTTTCAGAGGCAGTGGAAGACGACGAGGAAGGAGAGGAGGAGGGGAATGTTGCTACGTCTTCCTCCTGCCGCTGCTCCTGCTCCTGTTCCTGTCGCCACTGCTGCTGCTGCCGCCATTGCTGCCGCTGCTGTTGAGAGAGTGCATCCACATACTGCCCTTCCCGCCCTCCCCCCTCCTCCTCCTGATGCTGCCGCTCCTGCTGCCCCTGCTGTTGTTGTTCCTGCTGATACCGTTCCTGCCTCGCTCCTTGCTGCCCCTGCGCTTGCCCCTGCTGCTGCACGCCTCTGGGGGCTCGCGGAACATACACGGACCGGCGCTCCTCACGCTGCAGCTGCACCTCCAAGTCGTCTGCAGACGACCACCCAAACAGATCGTCCTCATCGTACCCCTTCCCGTCCCCACTGCCCGCGCTACCTTCGCCGCCGTCGCTCCCATAACCCCCTCGTCCCTTCCAAAGCCTCTCAAACTCCTCCTCTTCTCCTCCTCCTGCTCCTCTGCGCCCTGGCGTTTGAGAGTTCTCAAGAAACGACCGGCCTCGTGCCTTTGGAGGCCTCTCAAACACCGCTTCTCTTCCTCCTTCTCCTTCGTCTTCTCTTCCTTCTCCCACTCGCCCTGCCCATCTGTTAGGAGCATCCAGGCGGCCAGGCATGGACCGCGAATCGAATCTCCCCACCCTGCTCTCATCATAATCCCCTCGCTCCCCCGACTGTGAGGCGCGCCTGTTGGATTGAGAACTTGAAACCCTTCCCTGGTTTCTTCCTAAACCCTCAACCTCGCCTGCACCTTTCTTGAACCCTCCACCCGAATTCTCCCCTCGCCACCTGTTCCCTTCGCTAATTGTTCGCCTCCTCTCCCCCGCACTCCCCTCCCTTCCTCCCCTCCATCTCTCCCCCTCACTCCCCTCCCAATCTCCCCTCCGCCGTTCTCTCTCCCCCTCCCCTCTACGCCCACTGTCGCCACTATAACCACGCTCTCTCCCCTCCCAAGAGCTGCCTCGCCCCCTCACATCACCATACGACTTCTGAGTCGACTCAAAAGTCGCCCCCCCTCGCCCACTGTCGCCACTGAAACTGCGCTCTCTCCCCTCCCCGTACCTACCTCGACCCCTCACATCCTCATACCCCTCGTAAGCGCCTCGCCCCGCCCCCCTGTCGTCCCCACGTCCACGTCTCTCCCCTCCGTCCCTCCCGCCCCCCCGGTAACTCCCCCTGCTGCCCTCCTCCGCCGGACCTCTTGATCCCCTTCCTGGCGCTGCAGACTCCCACGGAGCTTGTAACGAAGCACCAGTTAACGAGGACGGGTCTCGCCGCGAGGATCTCGAGTCTCTCGAGGATACGCCACGTGCCGCTTGTTCGTCACCGCCTCCTTGCTCCCATTGGTTGGATCTGCCATTCCGAACGACCTGGCTACCCGGCCTGTCCCGAGCCTGCTTCCGAGGTTCGGCGTTCGTACGACCCTGACGAGGAGCTTGGGTATCGTCCGAACCTGCGGTTTCCCTCTTGCCAGCCGGACTGCTCTTCCCCACCCACCTTTTCCAAACCTCCTGTCGCTTTGCAAAAAAGGGATCCACGTCAACGCTTTCCGACGCGTCCACGTCAGCAGCCGCATCCGACAAACGCTGTCGCCCATAAGATCTGCCTCTCTGTAACGGGCCATCCTGCCGGCTGGCACATAAAACCCGAAACCCTGAACCGCCTTGCCCGCGACTGGTTTGGCTGAAGCCATTTTGCCTAAGATTATCTGACCCAAAAATGCTGTTGAATCTTAAACCGCTGTGGTCTAACCTACTCGTTCCGAATCTGGTTACCCCTAGGTCGCTGCGGTTATGACCAGAGAGTTGAGGTGACTGAAGCGAAACCGTTAACGGGAGTGCTACTAACGGAATCGCGGGGTTGGTGAATATGACGGATGTTAGCGGGACATGCGTACGAACACGTGGAGGGACGTGCAGTGCGGATAGGTGCGCGGAGCCCTGCGCAAGAGCGCGGGGCGGATGCCCTTGCGGAAGCATCCGGGGATGCGAAGAGGGGCAACGGGCAGCTGGAGGAAGCACGAATGCGCGGTGCGGGTGGACGGAAACAGGACTCGCGCAAGCGGAAAAGCTACGCGTTATATCCAGGCGCAACAAGGCGAGGGGATTTACGAAAGCCGGCAATTGACCTAATCGCCTTTGCCGCAATAGGCGCCGCATACGACGGTTGTGATTGACGGTAATCTCTGTGTGGATGGGTGACAACAAATTTTAGCTTTGAATCTGCGTGTGTTATGAATGAACTTGCAGAGTGCGCAGAATATCGAATAACGAGAATGAGAATTACAGAATGACGATACAATGGAAGTGACGAGGCCTAAATAGGGGAAGTCCTAGCTAGGCGGGGAGGCTGGGCGAGGATGGCTCGGTGATGGTTGCGATTGGTGCGGAGGCGACTCGGGAGTGGTTCGGTGCGACGAAACAGGAAGGACAGGTTCGTCGCGTGACCCTCGGGATGACCTTGCTAACGAGTGCCTCAGTAAGGATTTGTAAATCCTTACAGCGTGATTCTTAGACGCAAGAGATTGACATCAGTTTATCAATGAAATCAAACCCATGAATATTACAACTATACATAAGCTCTAGCTTATTCACTTTGCTGTCTGCGCCACAGGACGTGGAGCACAAAGCATGCCAAAATGCTCACACGGGCAATGGTTGCAAAATCCTTTAGTATAATGGGTACAGATGTACCGGTAGATGGGTCATAGTAGTTCTTGTAACGGTTCATCTCCATGGCGTATTTTTTCCCCTCCATATCGAGCTCCTCTGATCCTTCTTGTGATTGTGCAGCTGCCATCATCTGCCAGAAAGGACAGGAGACAAATCATAAGAATTCCATCTAGAATGGTTTGGAAAAAATGAGCATTTGGGTCGAATAGGTACAACGGGTGGGAAGTGTAAAGGAAAGAGGAGCAGGGACAGGCATGGCTTACTGTAGTAAAGTAAGCATCCATTGTCATTTTCACCCCGTTATAGCAACATGGCTCCGACTGTGCCTCGTTTGTGGATGTCCGTGCTAAAAGAAGGGGGAAGAGAAGGATAAAGATGCGGGATCAGGAGAATAAATCTGACGTTTATATCGCAGTTGAGTGAGCTAGGAAAAGAACACGATGAGGGGAATTGAGGGGATTTGTTGTCAAACTATATATGTGCTAGTTCTGTGTATGCTATAGTGGGGTAGCCTGTATGGGTACAACCCAATGTTAGGGTTAGTACTTGTACCCACAATCCTTCCAATGCAGTCATTCTAGCTTCTAATCTTGACATGGTATTAAGAGCAGTAGGTCCGTAGGACCGTTTTTTTTTTCCGGGCCCACCATACCTAGCGACTGACTGCGGTTACTGCGTTATCCACTACTCTGCGTCGCGCCGCCCGCGCACGCCCTGCCCTGCCCTGCCCCGCGTCGCGCTGCCCCGCGCACGCCCTGCCCTGCCCCGCGTCGCGCTGCCCCGCGCACGCCCTGCCCTGCCCCGCGTCGCGCTGCCCCGCGCACGCCCTGCCCTGCCCCGCGTCGCACTGCCCCGCGCACGTCCTGCCCTGCCCTGCGCCGCGCCCTGCTGCAGTCCGCCCGTCGCGCCCTGCTGCCCTGCGCGTCGCGCCCTACGGCAGCCCGCACGTCGCGCTCTGCTGCCCCGCGCGTCGTGCTCTGCTGCAGCCCGCCCGTCGCGCCCTGCTGCCCTGTGCGTCGCGCCCTACGGCAGCCCGCACGTCGCGCTCTGCTGCCCCGCGTGTCGCGCTCTGCTGCAGCCCGCGCGTCGCGCCTTGCCGCCCTGCACGTCGCGCCCTACGGCAGCCCGCGCGTCGCGCTCTGTTCGCGCTCTGTTGCAGCCCGCGCGTCGCGACCTCTTGCCCTGCGTGTCGCGCCCTGCTGCGGCCCGCGCGTCGCGCCCTACTGCCCTGCACAGCGCGCGCCCCGCTGCCCGCGTCGCCCAGGCCGAGCCGAGCCGCCCTACCCGACCCGAGCCGCCCTACCCGACTCGATCCGCTCTGCTGTGCTACTACTGCTGCTGGTGGAGGTGCTGCTAGGAGTGCTGGAGGTGCTGCAGCCTAGCCTCGCCGAGCCGCTTTGCTGCTCATACTGTTGTTGCTGCTATTCGTGCTACTGTCTTCACTCCGTACTGCCCTAGAGGTCGCGCTCCTCCTAGCTTGCCCGCCATGACTTCTCTTCGCAGCAGCAGTAGGAGTGGTGCCGGCGATGGTGGCAGCAGTGGGAGTGGTGGCAGCTAGTTACGCACAGTCTCGCTGCTTCTCCTATTTGAGTGACGCCTGGCACGCAGAGTTTGGAGACGAGGCTGAGATCCCCCACTGGCTTCAGCTGCTTAGGTCGGGCGTTGATGTCTTTGCTTTAGACTATGACGCCATCCTTACTGCTATGTATGCTTTGCTTGGTGGTGCTGAGGGTGACTGTTACCTGTGTGTGCTGCACGACCCTGGTATACAGGTTCCTGCTCTAGGTGCTAGTGAGGCTGCTGCCTTAGGTGCTAGAGAGTCTGCTCTCTCAGGAGCTGCGCGTACTGAGGCCTTGCACACCTTCACGCTTGACTCAGGTGCTTTCCGCTGTTTCTTTCGCAACAGTGCTGCAGTCATGCCACTCCCTGTACCTGTTGCAGTGTCTCTGGCTGACCCCTTAAGGGGCCCAGTTCTTGCACGGTCCACCACTGTGCTCCCGTGCCCGGCGGTTCCGTCTGGCTCACTGTCAGGCCTCCACCTCCCCTCGTTCTCGACGAACTTGGTGAGCACCGCAGTTCTCCAGGACCAGTGGGTTGACACCTTTACCCCTGGAGGACAGCGTGTGGCGATCTGTACGTGCTCCCGGACTGGCCGCCACCTGGCCACGTTTACCCATCGGCCAGGGTCGAGTCTTTACACATTGACGACTGCGCCTCCTCAGATAGCTGCTACTGGTCAGGTGTCTGCGTCAGGTCAGGTAGCCTCCCCTTGTGAGTGTCGCTCCCTGTCCCACCAGACTCTTCTTTGGCACCACCGTCTGGGTCACCCCTCCTTGCCACGTCTACATGGCATGCATTGTCGCCTCCTTGTGTCTACTCTTCCCAGGTCTCTCCCACCCCTCCCTGCCTCCTCTGCGCCTCCCTGCCTTCCTTGTGTCGAGGGGCGGCAGCGCGCCGCTCCTCACTCCTCCTCGTTTCCCCCGACAGAGGCTCCCCTGCAGACCCTCCACCTGGGCGTGTGGGGCCCAGCCCGCGTTCGTGGCCTGGGCGGCGAGCGGTACTTTCTGCTGGTTGACGACGACTACTCGCGGTACACCACGGTCTTCCCCTTGCGCACCAAGGGTGAGGTCCCTGCTGTCCTGATCCCTTGGATCTGCACAGTTCGTGTCTAGCTCCGCCGCAGGTTCCGCCAGGACCTCCCTGTCCTGCGTCTGCACTCTGACAGAGGTGGTGAGTTCTCCTCCGACCTCTTGCGGGCCTTCTGTCAGGGGGAGGGCATCCTCCAGTCGTTCACGCTTCCGGGCTCACCGCAGCAGAATGGGGTTGCTGAGCGCCGCATTGGCTTGGTCATGGAGATCGCTCGTAACTCCTTGATCCATGCGGCGGCTCCCCATTTTCTGTGGCCGTTTGGGGTCCGGTACGCCGCGCAGCAGCTCAACCTCTGGCCCCGTGTCTCCTTGCCGGAGGCCTCGCCCACACTGTGTTGGACGGGAGTGGTTGGCGATGCGTCGGTGTTCCGAGTCTGGGGTGCTCGTGCCCTTGTCCGCGATACGTCCGCGGACAAGCTCTCCTCCCGCACCATTCCCTTTGTCTTCCTTGGCTTTGTCCCTGACGCGCCTGGCTGGTAGTTTTACCACCCCACCTCGCGCCGTGTCTTCTTCTTTCAGGACGTCACTTTTGACGAGTCGGTTCCTTTCTACCGTCTCTTCCCCTACCGCACTGCCCCCGTCCCTCCCCCGCCGCTTTTCCTCGCTCCAGGTCCCCCTCCGGTAGACCCCCTCCCCCCTCAGGGTTTCGCACCTTCAGGTGTGTCTCAGGTAGACCCACTCCCCTTGGCTGAGCCTGTAGAGGTCACTAGTGACTCAGGTGCTGCTGCGGGTGGTGCTGCTCGGGGTACTGCGTCTGGGGGTGCTGAGCCTGTGCGTGAGGTGCTGGGGGGTGCGGAGCCTGGGGGTGCTGAGCCTGCGAGTGCGGAGCCTGGGGGTGCTGAGCCTGCGAGTGCGGAGCCTGGGGGTGCTGAGCCTACGAGTGCGGAGCCTGGGGGTGCTGAGCCGGAGGGTGCTGAGTCTAGGGGTCTCTCTTCACGACGGGGGCCTCTCTCACCATACCAGTTACGAGAGTGGCTGGCGTGGCGTACCCACCTGAGGAGTTGAGCTGCTGGAGCTGGAGGTACTGCTGCTCGAGGTGTTGCGGTTGGAGCTGCTGAAGCTGCTCGTCGTGGAGGCGCTGGGGGTGCTGGTGTTTCTGGTTCTGGAGGTGCTCGTATTGGAGGTATTGGAGCGGCCAGGACTGGTGGTACTGCTGGCGCTGAGGGTGTTGGTAGTGCTGGCGCTGAGGGTCTAGAGGTGCTCGTACCGGAGGTACTCGAGCTGCCAGGGTCAGTGGTGTTGGAGGCACTGGAGCTAGAGACCCGCGCGTTGGAGTTCGAGACCTTGGAGATGGAGGTGCTGGC